TGTGTGTGTGACTTATATACTATAAAAGTATTTCTCATAGTAAATCTAAAAACTTAAATCTTATGTTATGAATCTATATATAGTCAAAGATACAAATGCTTGACATAGAACAAAACTAATATGACATATAAAAAACGTATTGAGTACAATTTTTCATGGAATATAGTATATATTTTCATTATGCTATATATATACCTATGTTTGGAGTCTTACTGTTTGTTAATATTTTCGAGAAAACCAATCAAGTTTAAGTTAGCTTGACTTTAACCAAACATAGAACTGCATCGTCTTTTCTATGATGAAGGCATGCATGAACCAACAGGATTTGCAAAACAACCGCACACACATGTATGAAATCTACTCACTTCGTTCGTGAACAAGCCCCGATTGACACCCCAAGTATCAGTGGTGTGGATTTGCCCGTCTTCGTCAACGTAGGAAAACTGAAGCCCTTCAACTGCACCATGATGGTAGATTGTTACACTTTCTAGACGACGTGATTTGCCTCCCATTTCATGAAGGGAGCCTCCAGTCATTCCACCCCATGGTCCTTGCTTTATAGGTGCATGGATCTTTGTAGGTGCAGTGATCTCTATAGGTGGAGCGATCTGTGTAGGTGGACAGACGACGACCTGAATATGAAGGAACATGCATTTTGAGTGTTGGTTTAGGCCAACAAAATGGAAAAGCAAAGGAATAATAAATGAGAGAGCCAAACAAGTCATTGGCCAAAAAAGGAGAGTCCTCTACTTCTCCCTAGCTCTCCCCATTTTATATGGGTGGCAGGAGATGGGTTCTCTTTATGCCCCACGGTGGGGTTTATATTTACCACTAGGGGGCCCTGGTGCTGTTTGTATCCAAAAAAATGTCACTAAAGGCTACAAATGAAACTCCAAATATTATTTTCCGGGCCCTACTAAGCTCGATTGAAAATAACAGAAAAGAAATGATAAGTATTTTACCACGTATAATAACACAAAGTGATCACCGAGACCACCAGAATATATAATGCAAAGTGGACGACCTGAAATCAGTTACACGCTCACCTCCTTCATGCGGCAGAAAAATTCAATAGTAAGCTCTTGTGTTATTGTATTGCCTATGCAACTGTGTACTCTTTTGTTGATGACACCACGTGCCATTGAGAATTCACCGGTCCCACCTACAATGGCCCACTCATTTTCTTCATCATCATCATTAGCTCCCATAACCTGAAGAGTGGACCCTTTGAACCTGCATGCACAATAATAAATACATAATATAATCGATTTTGCTCCAATATGATAATTAGGCATGTCTCATCAGAATTATTTGCCTTACAAGTAAAATAAAAGCCGTGGAACAAAGAGATAAGCTACTACATACCTTCCGGCCACAAACACCAGGGTGAACCAATTGCTCCATTTGCCGGCAAGTGTGTGCATGCCGTGCCCGTGGGCAACCAGTTTCGCCTGGGAGCAAGGGCCGTCATAGATCCCCCAATTGTTCACAACAGTTTTACCAAGCCCTGTCGCGGCATTGGGCTGTATCACGTTTGACTGATTCGCATTGCAGCCCGCAAAGATTTGGCGTAGATACAGCTTGCTGACGTTCACCTTGGCGTTCTCCACCGTTCCACCGAAGTCACAAGTGACCTTGAAATTGGTGGAGACGCCGCCGCCTCTGGGCGGGCAGCTTCTGTGTACCATGGGGACGTCCATGGTGGGGCCATCGGTGGGCGTGCAGGCCATTGCTAGCTAGCTGGTGGTGGTGCTACTCGACTCAACTTAATTGTGTACGGCCCCCGCAAAAAAAACTTAATTGTGTACGGAAGGTGATGAAACACAGGTGCGTCTACTCCTATTTATAGCCCGGGACGGAACTGGAAGCTAGATCAACACGGGTACGTGTACTCCTATTGCTTAGATAGGTGACAACCATAGCCATGACGCTGGCCCTCAGAGTGGCGTGGGTTGTGCGGTCCCTTTCCGATCACGTCCGCGCATCCGCCAGCGCTGCCAATCCTGTGGCCACTTGGCATCGAGGGAGAGGAGAGCAGCAGCCCCGTGGGTTCACACGTCCCATCGGGTGGCGCCGCCCGTAGGTTCACATGCTGCCAGGCAAGGGGCAGCGGGGTGCCAAGTGTTCGGGCTCTGCTTGCAAGTCTAGTCCCATGGGTTCACACGTCCTTGCAAATTTCAGTGTACTTGGACTGGGCCCCGTACGTGGCGCTGAGGGCTTGTTTGGACGCCATGGGTTCACACGTCCTTGCAAATTACAGTTCGTCGGCCCGCAACAGCCACTCCGTCGCTGGTCTTTAAATCAGCTCTTGTCGCTATAGCGGACAGTTATCATTTCACTTCCTAGTTCCAAGGCTGCATGCCACTACAAGCCGGAGACGCTAGTACGTGAAAACTATTAGGTGAGCATGAAACAATGAGAAGGCAAAACGCGAGCGGCTCTGAGGCGTGAAAGCAAAAGAACGAATTGTTTTTTTTTTCATTCAACGGTCATGATTATATTAAATGAGCGGCTGGGAAGGCAGCTTATCCCCGCTCAGGATAAGTTGGATGATTTGTAGTACTCCCTCCGTCCGGGTGTATAAGTCATTCGCGTAGTTCTAGGTCATCGATTTGAGAAATTAAATATGTGTTATATGTCATGAAAAGTATACCATTAGATTTCCACACGGATGTAGTTTCTAAATATATATTTTTTGTCACATATAATACATATTTAGATAGTTAAATTATCGACCTAGAACTACGCAAATGACTTATACACCGGGATGGAGGTAGTACTAGCCATTTTTTTATGCCTCCGATTCCACCAGGGTTTCCCCCTCTAATTGGGCGCGTAGGGGAGTGGGGTTACTGGGATGCCCAACCATAGCTTGTGAATTCCCTAAACTGAAAAACAAAACAGGGAATTGTCTTGACCTCCGGTGCTGATTGGCCACACAATCTGACAACGGAGCTTCTTCTTCAGCGAGCAAATCGGCGTTACCGGCTGCCGCCAGCCTATAACATAAATATTAATTTCCCAAGCGGATGCTAGAGCTCGTCCATCTGATTATGCTTGCCTCGTCAGCCAATTACCATGAGCGGGTGCTTGTTCTCGCGACCCACACCAATGAGGTGGATAGCTTCATCAGGTTCGCTCAACTCGATTCACTCGGGATGGATGGCAAGATCCAAAATTATAGTGATTGGATCAAAAGTTGCAAGGAGATTCATTTTGGGAGGTTCAGGCTTGTCCATTGGGAGGGAGGTGAGAAAGGGGCACACTGGTCGATGATGAGGTGGAGAATGAGGCGATGGTGGAGGCCAACTTGAAGCTTGCGCGGTTCGTGGAAAGATCGGAGGCCATATGGTCGACTATTCGTCAATGTCCATGTATTCTTCTGGTTCTTGGCCAAACCGAGATGGCATGGAGCCATGGAGGACAGCTACAGATGCAACCGGAGCGTCGACATGAGTTGGTGGAGTGATGGCGGCCATGGTCCGGATGGGGTTGAACATTGCCTCTCCTCCGATCCGACCAATGCACATGCAAATGACCTGAGTGCAAGTTTCCATGGGTGTGAGCTACCCAGGAATTTGCCAAGTATCCTGCCATTTTGCCACACACTAAACAAGACCTTATGGATTATAATTAAGGACAATGCTAACTGCAGAACGTTTCAAATTTAACGAACAAAACCGAACGACCATTCCTAGCACACAAGTGCATGCTATGAACCAGTGGCGGAGCTAGCTACTCCATGGAGCCGGGGAAAAATACGAAGGGATGTGACTCGTGGGCATTTGCCCCACTAAAACTGGTGATTAAATCTCCATCTCCTTCTATAGTCTCACGGGAGTTCCTGGGCAGAGCCCGGGCAGCTGCCCAGGGTCGCCGGGAGGTGGCTCCGCCACTGCTATGAACTTTTCTTCACATGCACCTGATTATCAGTGCATCTCTTTCACAATGTGCGTGTGCATGACACCTATTAAATGCATAATTACATGCATGTAAGACAAAATTGATAACGTCACTTTAGATTCTTTCATACTTTAAATCTTCAAAATGTTTTGTAACTTAAACCGCCATTCCAATAAAAAATCGATTTCACATAAAAAATTCGATGCAACGAGATCTCCAAGACTAGATCTCATGTTGATATATTGCGATGACATTTTTTTGGGTAAAAGATTATCATGTCTATGCTACACAAGCTATCATGTTGCTTACATTGAAATTACCGGGGGCATAAAAATGGTTCATTATCCAATCTTTTCTCATGTGCACATGCATGCACTAGAGACATAAAAGCTGGTGTCATCCTAGATTTTTCCATTAGAAAACTTTAAATTATTTTATAGTTCAAACCATCGGTGCGATTGAAGAAATCATTTTCACATTAAAAAAATGTCGTGATGAGTTCTTCAAATTTTGATTTCATGTTGCTATGTTCCGACGACTTTTTTCGGCAAAAATGTTACCATGCGCCTAGGCTAAGTAAGTTA